CATGATTATCATTATATATTAGTCTACTAAACATTATTTATTTTATAAAGCCTAGGAAAGGCATTCTGAATGTTTAAATATGTATATATAAACTGAATTAAAACAAAAATTTAACAGTGATTTAAATCACTGGTTTTTATTGAAAAAATAAATCAACTGATTTAACCGAGCTGATTTAAATCAACCCAACCCTACGCTGTTTTCCTCCGAAAAAAGGGAACGAAATAATAATTGTGAAAGTACAACTCTTCTAAACTAAATCGAGCCCTTTCACTTTAGCAACATTTTTATCTTTAAAAATTTCCACCAAATCAAACAGTTGCCCATGTCGTTGTGTCCAACGTTCCGAGGTAAGCTTAGTTAGAGGTTTACAAAGTAGGCTACAATGTGGTATGGTAGGCCCTAGGCTTATGTGTGACTGTGTGGCACAGAAATTAGCATTAATTCCAATGATTTCAAATTGTAGGCCTAGCCTTGCACCCCTTCTTGGTCTAGTGGTATAGACCGGATATGGAAACATGCCCGGATGTTGGCATTTTGTTTTCAGAGCCAGGCCAGGGAACAAGGAAAGAACCTGAGCACTTGGGTGACCTCATATTGAGCGGCAACCGGATTTGACCTGTAGGCCTAGGCCTGGGCTCAGTTCCGTTTCGCCTCGTTTTCAACCGAACAGTCTATTTTTTGTCCTCTCTGCCCCCTGCTTGACTGCTTGGCCTGAAGTTGCATCAGATTCAGATTGCCGCCAGCTAGCTTGACGACAGAAGCGGTGCCGAAGAGTGTCGTGGAGGAATAGTTGACTTTCGCGACGCTGAAGAGAACATTTTACATCGAGAAAAATGACACATCCAGCAGAGGATCTGCCAAAGGAAGGTGCAGAAAATGAGAAGTCCCGGCTTGATGAGGAATTGACGGCAAACACAACTGCTGTCGATTTAGACGTTGACCCCGATGATTCCAAAGCTCACCTTATCAACGCGAATGGTGGAGCAGGCTCGGATCATGTGGACGTCAAAATTATCGACGGGACGGCTGCTTCATCCGAAGGGGAAGTCTCATTTAATGGACTAGGAAAAGATGAAGTGATGAAATATGCCGACGAGCCATTCTGGAGACGGCTGAGATGGATCCTTTTCATTTTGTTCTGGGTTGGGTGGCTTGCCATGCTTGTGACCGCTGTTGTCATTATCGCTGTCGCTCCGCGTTGTCCACCCCGCCCCGATCTGAAATGGTACCAGACTGAGACAGTTTACCAGGTTCTTCCCGAATCTTTCAAAGATTCCAACGATGATGGAATTGGTGACTTCGATGGTAAGTTTATGTCTCCTCTTTGGCCACCCCGGGGTGAGAACAGCAGCGCTACTCCTCTCTCTCTCTCTCTCTCTCTCTCTCTCTCTCT